GTTTATTTGTTTCGGATTTGCTGTTACAAAACTTCTGTTTGTGGCTCTTGGCCGATTGACAAGAAATACAACAAAAATCTGAAGTAATTTTATTGAAAGCAGAATTAGACGAAGCAAGAACGTTAAAGATGTGGGGATTCAGATGCCCGAGACGAGCATGCCAAGTAGTCGGTGTGCGAACCGTGGTATGAAGTGCCCGCAAGTTACGATCAGGTGCAAGCTTAAGTTCGTAAACTCCATTATGCAAACGACCATGAAGAAGGATTTGATGATCCTGTAGATCCTTAACATGAAAGCCATTAGAATCAAATGTAATCGAAATAGCATTGTCGTTTGTTAATTTGGAAACTGAAAGCAAATTGTGTGTGAGGGCGGGGACATGAAGAAGATGACAGAGGTGAAGCTTACGCGGAGTATTGGGCAGTGGTAGCAAACCTTGACCGTAATTTTGTATGGACATAGTGGAACCGTTAGCTGTCGAAACAGAGTCCGAACCTTGGTATGTATTTGAATTCTGAAGGATGGTACCGTCCGAAGTCATGTGGGTGGTAGCGCCAGAATCCAAGATCCAGCTTTGACAGTCTTCTGGCGTGGATTGAGCGAGGTTCGCTCGGGGTGTTGAATTGGGGGTAGAATTGTAGTTCATATTGCACCGATGCCAGCGTGTGAGGGCAGTGTGGCCGGATTTGCCACAAATTTGACATGTCGGACGTTGGTTGTTTGAAATGTTCAGTCCTGTATGTGAAGTAGCGGGTTGATCAGTTCCAGGAGATGAGCGGTTGTTGTTGTTGCGGTACTGAGTTGTTCGTTTGGAGTTCTTGGAACGATTGGGGTTGTATTTGTTTGTGTAGAGGGCAACAGGCAGCTGAGACGGTTCTTTCTTGAGTTCTTGATTGATGTGGAGCTCCTCATTGCAGAGTAACGAATAAAGAGAATCAAGGTCGGCGGGAATAGAGGATGATCGTATGTAGGTTTTGATTGAATTGTATTGGGCGGGTAAACCATTTAACGTGTACAGGATAATGTCTTCGGGATCTATCTTGTTGCCAGACGCGGCAATTGAATCGACGAGCTGTTTTACCTTGGCCAGATATTGCTGCATCTTGAGAGTTTGCATTTGGATATGGTGAAGCTCGTTCTTGAGCTGTATTATCCGTGAGCGGCTGGATGCTTGAAGACGTTTTTCAAGAACCGTCCAAACTTCGTGGGCGGAGGTGGCGTTGATGACATACGGTAAGATTGTCTGAGAGATTGTGGAGAAGAGGGCTGACATGAGATTGGTGTCGACGAGGCGCCATTTTGCAAGATCAGCCGAAAGAGTTTCTGGTGGGGGTTCGGCATTACCGGTGAGATGGTCTGCGTACCCGTTTGCAGATAGATGTTGATAGATTTGTGTCCGCCATAACATGTAATTCTCAACGGTGAGGGTGTAAGGAATCAGATTCTTGATATTGGAGAGGATGAACTTCAATGTCGGCAGGATGAGGAGTTCCTGAGGGCCATTAGACGCGGTGGTAGTGGAGTCGGGTTGGCTGAGGGAGGTTGATTCGTTATCCCTCATCCTAGCAGTCTGATACCATGTGAGAGTGGCGAAGTAGGAAGGAGAAGAACTTAGACTAACAGAGAAGATGAAAGGAAAAGCAAATATTATTATTCATATCAAAAGTATATTACAGGATATCTATATATAAGAGTAGCTGTGAGAAGGAAGAGACAAACAGTATATGTGGGACAAAATATATGTCTGCTTATGCTTATAGAAATAGGCAGATTATAGAACACGAACCAACAACATAAGAATAAAAATATAAAAAGAAGGGGCATTTTTAGACGATTACAAGATCTATAATTGGTGTCAAAACAACAAGGAATCGTCAACCGTAAAAAGAAAAACCCAATAAAATTTTACTAAGAAATATCAATAAAAATGCCTTCTTAGGCGGCATTCATAATCCTGAGAGTAAGAAGCATCACTAACCAATCCGTCCCGATGCAACAAATGTGAAGCAACCAAATAAGAAATATGTAGTTAGAAGTAAAGGAGGCATTGATCCTCATATGCAATCAAAGCAGTTGGTTTTGAATTTTCTTAATTAACTTGGGCTCTCAGTGCTTAAGAGTTCTTTTGAAGTTATTCTTTCCTCCTATTCCAAGTTCTTGTTGTTCGCATCTCTCTTCAAGCAATGTTTTTTATTCTGATAAAGAGTCTAGAAACATTTACGAGTTTAGTATTCAAATTCACTTCCTTCACGGTGAATGAAACGATAAGGGTAATTATGTTGAGAAACTGTGATTTTGATGATAAAACTTCATTGTTTATGTTGTTGAAGCTGATGCATTCCCCAACATATTTATGAAGAACAATTTTATCTCTTTTACTTAAGTTTGATTTGGGACGGCTTTCTTACTTCCTTAATTTCTTTGCGGTAAAAATTTGTTGTTATTATGAATTTCTGCAATATCATATTTGCTAAGTTCACGTTATATTTTCTTCTAAATATCAGCACTTTTACTACAACATTATTATTTTGGAGATTGGGAGTAAAACTCATTTGAAAATAATAAACAATAAATTAGAAAATATGTTAAACTTTGAACTAATATTCTCGTCGCCTCCCAACGCGCAAAGTTGAGTATCATTTACCTATTTATTTGTTTGAAACGGGTCAGCAAAATATAATAATAATAATTTTACTAACTATTCGAGAGCATTAGTTGGCTGTACAAAACGGGGAGACATTTGTTCAGCGACCGAAATTCTAACAGCTCTAAGTAATGGCTAATAATAACACATATTGGCGATGAATATTATAATTAAATTAACGCAAATAATTTTTAATAGTGTCATGAAATATATATAGCATATTGTTCAAGTGACAGGTTGTCAAAGCCAAGAAGTTTCAATTCGAACTATTTAAAATTAATCAATATTCCGTTATTTAATTAATTTTACTAGAGCCATAATTTAAATTTTTTGAATTTAAAATTAACTATTTTTATGTTTAAAATTATTTTGATTAGTTTATTGTTATTTACAAATTTTACCGTTAATGTGGTCTTCAAACTTTGTTTCCGAATAAATTTTGATAGTTTAAAATGAACATGTAGGTCACCTTTGTAAAGGCACAGATCACCCACTTATTGTTTCGGTACCGCTCTTATATTTTAATTCGGGAGCTATAACCATATTTTTGAACCACAAACGGCAGTAGTTTTAACTAATGAAATATTAAATAAATCTAACTGCAACCATTGCGTTGCAACGAAAGGTCGTTGAGCACTTCAAGGACAGGTGGCACTTTAGACTCATTCTTTAAAATAATTTACATGCATTTTTTTTCCTTTCTCTCGAGTAGGTTTTGATCATATTAATTAAATGAGAATATGAAGTTAACCATTTGAACTGTTATTTATTTTATTTGAGTTTTTCTAAAATATTTTTAATATGACACCAAAAAATTTATACGAATGAGCATAAATTTTAATATAATTATGATGTTCTGGCAATTGAGTATTCAGAAAAAAAAAGTTTTAGAATTATTTTCAAAATTATGTTAAATCTATTTGAAAAATCTAACATTTTTTAAAAATAATTTAATCGAAGGTTTCATTTGGAATAATTTTCTTATTTTTTTTAAATAATAACTTAGAATTAAAATTTTTAATTCAAAAAATATTTATAATAAAATTTTAGTTTAAAAAATAATAGAAGGTTGTCTCAAATAAAAACGAACACAAACAAGTTCAAATCAAACATTTCATAATCAGAAATTATGGAAATCATTCGGACAGTGGAATTGTTCTTGCAGGCTGACCTTATGCGCCATGTAGGCCGTGAACTCTAGGCCGGCTTTGACTTGCAAGCTAGTAGGGGCAATGTTGGTGGCCATCTCAAGCTAATCATCATATTTAGGCAAGTCATCGTAAACTGAGTAGGAGGCGGTGGTGTCTATCCGTGTCTTCTTAGCCGGCGGCACCTTATGCCATCGTCATCTTCATCGATGACTGAGTTAAGGCCATGGACGTACTTGATCATATATGTCTTCAACTTCTCCTTGGCCTCGTCAACCTAATCAACATTGATGTTCAACCCGTGCAAACGCATCTTCATGACCGGGTCGAGCATCGTCGCAACGACATGGACGGGCTGGAGCACGAACTTCTCCTCGAAGATGGGTTGGATGATCTCCCTGAGGGTTTATCCACCATATTGAGTACCCACCCATATCCATTGGGTATGGGTGGGTACGTGGGTGGGTGTGGATATGGGTGCCCAATGCAGGGCTCTGTTGTCGAGATGAGAGTGAATCTTAAAATTTGTTGGCTATGTAAAGCTACTTTTTAGTTTTTAGTATTAAAATTTCTTAAAAGTAGAGAAAAAGTATATGTATAAAGCTGTCCCAAACAAAGCCTAAAAATATGTTTAAGATGGATTTTTAAAGTAGTTTTTTAGTTAAAAAATTAAAAAATATTTACAAAAAAAAAACTTTAACCAGCATTAAGAAAGTTGTTGCAAGCGAAGCGAAGCTGCTTTCTAGTATAAAAATTAAAATTTTTGTACTAAGAAGATGCCTAAAAAAACAATAAGAAATACGTCCCAAACAAAGTCAATCACATTATGCGAAGCATCTGGAAATTGTTGTGCTAAAGTTCTTATTATTTTGCCATTCATGGATTCAGTCATACTCATCAGCAAAATGAATGGCGGGAAGCAAATAAATTTGCAGTTAAATTCCAAGTGGCAAGAATCCGCATGATATGTTTCATATTAGGTACGTATGCATGCAAATGTTTTAGCAGGTTGTTGCCAATTTAATAATGCTAATTTTCTACTAAAAAAATCAAAAGTCGGTGATAAAAATCATATAGTTTTCCGAGTCTTTCTCCCTTCTTCCGCGTTTGAGTATCAATAAATAGATAGGAAAGAATAGCTGGGGGAGAGATAGGAGCTAGCAAAGCAACACAAAGCAGAGATTAAGGGAAAGAACGAGTGTGAAGTGATGGCTACTGAGAGATCAATGGAGGAGGGAATTCCACCAAATTCTAGAGAAGATGATAATGTATTATCATCTGATAACAATTCTGCTTTAAGAATCTCCGTTCCATTTCTGCAGAAGGCAAGCTTCTTCTTCGTCTTTCTTAATTATTTAACGAGGAAAAATTCGGAAGATTAGCATAATTTTTTTTTCTTAAAAACCTTCGCCACTATTGTTATCGCGGTCAAATGAATTTTATTGCAGATAATTGCAGAAATATTTGGCACTTACTTCATAGTCTTTGCTGGCTGCTCTTCTGTGACTGTGAACAAGAGCACAAATGGTACTGTTACCTTTCCAGTGATATGCGTCGTGTGGGGATTGGCCGTTACTGTAATGATATACTCCGTCGGCCATATCTCCGGAGCCCACTTCAATCCCGCCGTCACCATTTCCTTCGCCAGTTGCCGAAGATTTCCATGGAAGCAGGTCCATTATCATAGATTTTGAGAAATTATTATACTATGGAGGTCATAGAAATGTAACGATAAATTTTTAGAAATCTAAGTAATTTGGAGAGGATAGATTTCCTTGCCCTTTATGATGAAATCAAATGTATATTGAATCCTGTTACAGGTACCAGTCTACATTACAGCACAGGTGTTGGGATCAACTCTAGCAAGTAGTACGCTTCGTATTCTATTTGGTGGTGGGCGAGAACTTTTTGCAGGAACAATTCCGAAAGGCTCCAATCTCCAATCTTTGGTTCTGGAGTTTATCATCTCCTTCTACCTCATGTTTGTCATTTGTGGTGTTTCCACTGATAATAGAGCTGTAAGTCACCATTTCTCTTCATGAAAGCATAAATTGAAACATTGTAGCTGATTGAATTTTGTGTTGCAGATTGGAGAACTTGCAGGAATTGCTGTGGGAGCCACTGTACTGCTAAATGTTGGCTTTGCAGGGTAAAATTTCCTTATAGGTTTTAATAGGCTTTGAATTAGTGTTTAATGATCTGATCAACTTGGGATTAGATTAAACTAGATTTGGACTTGAATTGAGATGCTTCTAGAAGGAATAAAGCAAACTCATGTTTGGATCGTATATAAATGCTTTCCATATAAGCATATCCTCATGTGTGTATTAATACAAAGGTTCCTCCAAATATTCATCTATGCATCTATCTACACATATTTAGTTGTATAGATGCATTTATGCTTTTGGACAACGAATTTATTGTATACAAAACTTGATTTAGTTTTAGGCTCATTATAGCCTTAAAATATTTTTTTGTAAGCCACCTATAACAAAGCCTAACAAAGCCAATTTGGACTAAGACACCTATAACAAAGCCTAATTTGACATAAAATTATATTATTATTCTCATCCCTTCTTATTTGGTTGTAGTGAATTGAAGCATGATAAATGATTCTGAGTTTTCTATTTTCATTATGTAATTTTGATTGCAGACCAATATCAGGAGCATCAATGAATCCTGCAAGGAGTATAGGACCAGCAATTATTGCGAACCGGTATGAATCGATATGGATTTATATGATTGGTCCAATTTGTGGGATGATTGTCGGAGCTTGGGCTTATAATATAATCCGTTACACAAACAAGTCACCGCATCAACTTACGAAGAATGACTCATTTCTTAAAGCTTAAACATTAACATTTAGAGCGTAATGTAACATTGAATCATGTAAACCATATAGATTGGTTTATCTTGTATGTCTTTTTTTTTTTATGTTTTTTCTTCTCTTCGATGCTTAGGACTATATGGGTTTGCTGAGGCAAATTATAGCTTAAATTTCATAGAAAGGAAACTATATATGTAATTTGATGATTTTTTTTTAATGAATTTGTACTGATTTCTCAAGAATTTGAACTCATCTTAAAAAGAAAAGTGCCCCAAGAAGCCTAAATGAAAGTTAAGTGTGCAATGCTTTGAAGACTTTTTGTGACATGTGATTGGATTGATCTTTTAATTTTATAAAATAAGTATTAAAAAATATTCATTATGAACGTACATTATGATTAGAATTATAATGAGAAAGAAATTTTGAGAAAATGTGAGATAGCTATTATATTTAGCAAGATAATTTTATTTTTATCTTAATCTTATAAAAAAGAACAAGCTAATTGCAATCATGTGAAAAAGAAAAGACATCCAGTAATTTGTGATAAATATATTATATTTTTACTTAGAATTAATTTTGTTGCATCTTCTTTCTAATTTTTTTTTAATATTATGCACAATGTTTTTCACATCCATAATGCATTTTTTTTTTAATTTTATGCACAATGACCATTGGAGAGAGCTAAGTCAACTTGTGGTGTATTTTTAATTTGGCTAAAAATATGAGAACTTTTAATACAACATAAATGATGTACAGAGTAAATTTGGAATTCATCATAATTTTACTGTGCATTTTTTTTTATTAAACCGAATGCCAAAAATTTTTATATTTCATGTATTTTTAATACATCACACTCAATTTTATCAAATAAAATTACCCCTAATTCAAGTTTTTAGTTCAAAAAAGCGTGGTTTGGCAACATTAATACAAACAATATGAAGAAGGCCTAGATTTAAATCTGTGGCCTAAATTAGGCACTAAAAGTAAAATTAAAACCTTTTATAACCATTCCAGGGGTAAAATGTCCTCCAACGCCATGTCTGAGAACAACTTTTCAGACGCCGGCAACACTGACTAAGAATCCCAACAGTTGAAAGCCCGCCACGTGAATGATCTATTATTCTCCCGATCGAACAATGACTTGTGCGGCTTATTAACACGTTAGTCCAATGCACCACAAGCTTCATATAACATATTGTGCCGCACTCTAACAACTTGTCCCCTACATCATTATATAAAACCATGTATTTTATATTACAGGCATTTGAGGAATAAGAAAATACGTTTATTCTGTTATTGTCTTATACATTTCAATACTCTGAAGGATTTCTTTTACGTCTAAGGTCGAACAACGCATGGGTATGGGTGGGTACGTCATCCTGAAAAATATTTTGAGTGGGGGTGGGTGGGCAAAGCCAGTCCGCACAGAGCGTGGGTACCCAATGGGTACTCGACCAGGACCCTGTGTATGGCTCTGTTCAGCATCCATACGTAATAATAAATGTTTCTCTTTTGAAACAACTTCTTATTACTTTGTAAAGTTGGTGTAGATAAATTAATCTTTTAAAGTTGTAAAAAACAACCTCTTTAAATAATTTTTTTTTGAAAGAAGCAAAAAAAAAACATTGACCAAATAAATTGCAATATGATAAATAATATAATAAAAAAGTTGTCGCATGCGAAACCTAATATTGCTAATTTTTTTAGGTTGATTTTAATGTAACATGGGCATTAGCATTAAAATTTTAGTACTAGTAAAATAGAAAAATAAAAATAATTTAAATCCACTCAATAAAAAGATATAGCCAAATGCTTTGCAAATAGTATGAATAGCATGTATAATTAGTTTGAAATCTCTAAATTGTGAAATATAATAATTTACTCTATCAGGACTACTAAAATTTCTCAAATCTTTGAGTAATTGTGAAGCAAGAATAACTTCTGGGACGGTTTAGCTAAAGCAATAACATAAACAGGAATGAAGTAACATAAACAGCACAAATATTTGTTTAGTTTAATCAAATTGAAGCACGTCTATGTTGCAGAAGAAACCGATAAATGTTTTTTTTATTTTCTTTCATTAATGAACAAAAGTACAAAGTTCTTTCACTTTAACAAAAAGAATCAAATTTACTCTCTTAATGATTATACGTCATATCCCTCCTCTTTAAATACTTAATATTTTTAAAATAAATGTTGAAAATATATAGTGGTATGCTTTGTATTGGGGATTACATAAGGATGCATTAAAATGTAATCAAGAAAATCTAAGTTGATGCCATTATAACTCTATGTTGAGTAAGAGTTTAAATTTTTTTATTTTTTTTTTATTTTTTTTATTGAGGGGCAGTTTGGTTTGCCTTAAAAGGAATACATAATAAATTGGTATGAAAAAAAATTGTATTCAAAATGTTTGAAATTGTTTGAATGATCTGAAAGTTGATTATTTCATCTTATATATTTAAAAGTAAAATAATTGCATAGTGTGGGATGGTGGGAAGCAGGTAACGATCGAGTTGTAGTGGGTTGTGGGAAGCATCAGGTAGCGAGGGGGCATGAGTGGTCGTAATGGGCAATGACCATTGGAGAGAGCTAAGTCAACTTGTGGTGTATTTTTAATTTGGCTAAAAATATGGGAACTTTGAATACAACATAAATGATGTACAGAGTAAATTTGGAATTCATCATAATTTTACTGTGCATTTTTTTTATTAAACCAAATGCCAAAAATTTTTATATTTCATGTATTTTTAATACATCACACTCAATTTTATCAAATAAAATTACCCCTAATTCAAGTTTTTAGTTCAAAAAAGTGTGGTTTGGCAACATTAATACAAACAATATGAAGAAGGCCTAGATTTCAATCTGTGGCCTAAATTAGGCACTAAAAATAAAATTAAAACCTTTTATAATCATTCCAGGGGTAAAATGTCCTCCAAATTTAAGTTATTGTAGTCGAAAGACAATTCTTCCTAATATAAATGAAATACGTCAAAGATTACTCAATTTTGTGATTATCAAAGCACAAAGATGTCAAAACACATAAAATGATTAATAGTATTAGATTTAGATTGTTTAATTTAGGACCCGAATTCATAGCTTAAATGACCAATACAAGGTATATAATAGAAACTTATTAATAAGATTTATCGCTACAAATTTAGGGAACTTTTGATGCAATGAATTGTCAAAATTTAAGAAATTACAAAGTCTATCCAACACCATCTAATATTAATTATCAACCAACAAGGATGCTTATGCTGTCACCACTAAATGTTTGCCATGAACTAATACTAAAACTCTATATCACTACCATCGAATTTAGATTATTAACTAACACTTCCAAAAAATAGGGCAATCGCAGCACAATTTTTTACTTATCCCAGCGGTTATAACTGCCACAATTTTTGTTGCAGAGGTTTTAAAACCGTTACACCCCACTGTAATTGTAATGCACTGCAATGACATTCCGCAGCGGTTTAACGAACGATGGGGTAGATTTTGAGAAGTGCTTGATTTTGCAGTGGTTATAAACGCTGCAAATGTTAACAATTGTGCCGGTTATAACTGCCACAAATACTTCCCAAAAGACTTATGTCTAGTAATGTGGCAGTTTTAACCGGCACAATTCTCAACATTAGTGGCGGCAAAACTTCCACAAAAGTCTAGATTTTTTTTTAATTATGAAACCTGAATAAGAACACACAACAACACAAAATTTCTTTGCAAGGATCCCCGTCTACAGCTCTTGTGGTCTAACTTTTCTTCCCTAATCTTTTTGGTTTTTTCTCTTTTTTTCCTTCCAATGGCTGTGAATCAGATAAAAGACCCTAGATTTTTGGATGACAAAGTTAAATCGAGGTCTTTTAGGGATACTTTATCTGGTGAGTCGGCTTTACCAGATTTCCTCCACTCAAAGTTTCTTCTCACCATGGTTTGTCAGCTTAGATTATTTCTGATAATGAAATGTCATCTCTTTTTTTGCTTTCGAGTTTTCTTTAGTCGGAAAGTCTCCAGGCCACCATCGGCCGCTTGACTTGATTCAAAAAATTTTCCTCAACCTAAACTTGTTTGGGATTTTTTTGTTACTTTAATGAATCCTAAAATGTGTTGATTAAACTTGTAAATGACTTAGACTATCTAAGGGTTTTCTCTCATCGGTCCTACTTTGTGAGCAACAGCTTCATGAAGCTTTTCAAATGTACTCCGCATATGACATAAATGTGGAATCTCCCATTACCACTATTTGGGTTTCATTTCCCTATCTGCGGCCTCATCTTTTCTCATCCCAAATTCTGCAATGGGTTGGGATCACTATTTGGAAGACCTATGCGAGCATATAATGTGACTGTGAATGGTTTGATACCTTCTATGGCATGCCTACTCGTGGAATTAAATGTTATGAAACATTATGCTTCTCGAGTTTGGTTGTGGTCGGAGACTTTTGGTTATGTTTAATCGGTTTAAATGGAAGAGTGTCCGTTGTATTATTTTCATTGCAAATCATTAGGCCATTCTAAGGATTGTTGCCTGATCTTATATCTGAATTTGGGCGTTGCTCCTTCTATTAAGGAGGTAATTGCTTCTGATGTTTTGTTACAAGATCCCATGGGTTCTAATTATAACCCCTGCAATGTTTTTGGTGGGGGGAATTTAGGTGATTTGGTGGAAAATCCTGCTTGTGCTGAGGCTCAAGGGAAAAATTTTGTTGACCCTTATTTACTTTTCAATGGGGAGTCTTCTCAGCCTCAATGTGATGTTATTTTTCTTAATCAAAGTGTTTTGTTTTGCCGTATATTAATAATCTAGAGAAGTTAGATATGCCTTTAATCGAATCTGTTGGGGTGGAGGGGGGAAGTGCTCTGGCTGTGTCGAATGTGGAAAAGTAGAGGAATGTTGTGATTACAAGTGGAAATGAAATTAGCAATACTTTGGCTAGGGGTGTGGTTTCGCCTATCATTTTAGAGGAATCTATGTTTTGTTCTCCTGTTGGGATTGTTGGTGATTTGGATTTGCCTCTAG